GGCAGAAAATGTTAAGAGCCATTACCACAGGGAACTTCAGGCCCTATTAAACAGAGACCAGAAAAAGATCCTTGAAAGAAAAAAAACCCACCTCTTGAAAGCTTACTAGCAGCCTACCTTCATTAGCAGCTGTATCTCCCAAACAAGCTTTCTGAATCCTCTGTAGAGCTTTATCTCTGAAGCTGAGGCTTTGCTTTCATATGGATCACAGAAGTTGGATCTATCTAAAAATAGCACACCCCCTAGGACAGATTTTAAAAGGTCAAACTGAGGTGCTCACAGAAAAATCCTATTAGAGACCCCAGCATGATGTGCACTGAAGAGACATTCAGTAATGAAACACCAGGAGCTTCCAAGTTTGTCTGTCTTGCTTAGCTGCTCTCTGACGGGTAGTACCAGCAAGAGTTCTACAGCGCACACACACATTTAAAAGCACTGTAGCAGACACAGAAAATTAAATAAGCAGCAGATCATAAAAAGGGTTAAACCCCTGTAGTTTAGCACCTAAATAAAAAGTGGGGCGGTGAGCATCCATACTCTTTTCAGGTAGGGTTATTTATATTCGAGTACGTAGACTTTGGGCACAGATTTGCAAGCAGGAGAAGGTAGGGCAACCTTCAGTTTTATCTGAATGGTGAAAGAACTTTTATGAATTACTAGTCAATCTTAACAACTCTGACCTTGGGCTAAGTATAACGTAAATTACTTAAGCGTGACTCAAGACTGATAACTGGTAGTTGAGAATAGTCCTTGCGAAAAAGGTTAACTGTTGGATTGAACATTAAAAACTTCGGTACTTTCAATGCTCTTCAGAACATTTGGACTTCATTATGAAGCACAACAAAAACATACTTCCCATCCCCCCTCCCCCCAAAAAAAGGAAAAAAGCAACCCCAAAAAACCCAAACAAAAAAGACCCAAACAAACAAACAAAGCAAAAAACCAAAATAATTTATAATAATTTTTTTCCTAAATGATTTCCCATTCAATAGAGTAAGTATAGAAATAATGATAGGATATTAAAGATAATGGGATAAGATCACAATCATAGTAATTAATCCACAAGTGTATTTTTATAGAAAAAACGACTTTAACTACAAAACATGCTGTGAGTACACTGTGCATCTATCATCAGTACATGGTATTTTGGAAATGTGCAGTGCAAACTGGAAAGTTTCAGTATGCCTCTAGTATGGGTGCATATACAAGTATAAATACTGCAGACCTTCACACATACACACTTCCATGACAGCGCCAATATCTACCACGAAGGTTTCGTGGTTTTGCACATGCAGAATCTTTGCCACTAAATGTGTAGCTGCCACGTACAATTTGGGGCAGGCAAGCTTTCATCCTCTTGGAATGCAGACATGCTATTACCACCACATATTCTTTTGCCCTTTACTGTGTGCAAGTTTCACAAAATGAATTTATAAAGTGAATTAAGGGTCCTAAATACTGCTGATGACAAAGGGCTATTTTTTTAATGCATGTGAAATTATTGTACCCACCTTAATCAAGGGATCATAGTATCATTTAATATTCTTTCATGTACCTGACCATTGACCTGAAACTACCAATTTTTGTTCTTATTTTTTTGATATCTTCCTAGATATGCTTCATAGACCAAATCAGACTTTTTAGCATGATTTAGCAGTTCTCCATTAGCAACAGCAACAAATTCACATGTTTTTAAGGCCCGCAAAAAAATGGGACAGGAGTGATGTCAGGGCACATAAGAAGTTAAACAAAGCCAAATCCAACAAAATTACTAAAACTGAAGAAAAGCCCAAAGGCCAGATACAGGAGAGGCATGATCTGAAACAGCACCAACAGCTCCACGATACCATGAGGTAGATCAACTCAACTGCTGTCAGCTGGTCTAACAGACAAGTACTGTCAGACAATGAAATTCAGGCTCTCTACAATCTACATTTTTTCTTTCTTTTCTGAACACAGGAGCACACAGCAAAAGTAACAGATCTAGGTCTGAAACTATGACTATCCCCGTTGTTAAAAAATATTTTAAAAATCAATATATGATTGACCGACAAATGGCTGTTTCTACTACAACTGGGCTGGATCATTAGATCATAAAAGGAATTTGAAGAGTTTATGTAGGGAGAGAATGTCCTTGGCAGTACAGAAGCAGGTGAGGGTGTTGAAAGTCCAGGTCAAAGGATAACAGAAGTTGTAGACAGGTTAGCAGAAGAAATGCGAGGGGTGAAGTACGACCTTGCCTGTGCATATCAACATGACCAGCCTCTGACCAGCACCGACACATACCGACTGCAAACACCCAACACAGATAAATCCACATGATTCTCATCACCATCCCTAGGAAGAAAATATCCAAGACAAGGACAATTGGCTTTCCACAGCTTTGCATCAAACAGCTCAGGCATCAAGTATCTGCACAAGTACTCGACATGACCTGGAATCTGCAGGCAGCAGTTAGCTGGAAGACAGGTTGTTACCACCACCTGGAGAAATGTTCTCATGAACTACGCAGAATTCACAACTTCCCATTTCCAGCCACTGCCACTCTATTTTATTTATTAAGATTCAGCTACAGATGATTTGTACCTTTGGTCACACTGACCACGTGCCTTAGAATAAAGGATCACATTTTGCATGAAGCATTATTATCTCTCACTGGACAAACTCAGGGGTATTTCTACTCAGAGCAGTTGCTTTCCACTTTTCTGCCTCTGATTCAATCATTAGAGTCCCTTTAAAAGAGTATTTATCAATCACATTTCTTACAACATTTAATCTCATACTTATAATTAGGAAATGTAAATAAGTTTTTGTGCTGCCAGATCAATCCTGTATTTTTCAGCTGCTAAGTCAAGAAAAACCACTTAGAATTGATGAGCTATTTCCACAAGACACTGTACAATACTTGCCATCAGATCAATTCCTACGCATGTATTTAAAATTCTTTAAAACTCAAATGTCTTTATTAAATGATCCTTTTCAGGCTTTACATTAATTAAGAACTTTTCAGGACATTTTCGTTCTAGTTAAATGATACTAAATCCTCTTTTTTTTTTTTTTTTGTTTAATAATAGCTAGCATTTCCTTTTTTCTTTTACACACTTTCAACCACTTTTTCATTTATAATCCCGTTACTGAATGCTACTGAACTCTGTATAGGCATGTGCATTCTTCTTCTTTTCTTGCCTTCTATGTGAACATTTATACAAACACGTCATCTGCATTTCTACAAAATCTGCAGAAATATTGAAAAATTGGAGTTGGGACCCCAACAAGGTTATCTACTCCAAAACCATCATCTCCAAGTATTAGTCACACAGAAACACGTGAAGCTCCCGCAGTGAATTATGTATGAGATGATCAAAATCAGAGGTGGATTCTTCCAAGTTCTGGTTGCCACAGTGATGAGAAGGCTGTACGACAATTTTGCTTAGTCCGTCAATAACCTGTATTTCTACAGCACCTTTTGGCAAAGGGAAAAATTAGCAATTCATCCTCTAGCCTGCACAGTTACTGTCTAATGCTGATAACTGTCACAAACTCAGACACAAATCAGTCCAATGCCAACCGCTGGCATTTCATCTACAAGGTCAATTTTTATAGAGATTTGAACAGTCTTTAGTTTCAGATAACCAGGCTCAAGCGTTTTAACACTCAAAGATAATCGATGTATTTTCAGAAGGAATATATGTCCCCAGGCTAGAAAATGTTAGCAGATCAGGGACTTGCACATCAACTCTATCACTGTAGAGCGTTCATACTTGTCAGATATTACTGTGAAATAGATCTTGTGTCTTTTGAACTTTTTTGTGTGCAATTGTGTCGTTTTTATAGTAAAGCTTATCCTGAAAATAAAATTCTGAAAATACGTAGAATTTATAAACTGTGTGCAGTCCCACTTGCATAAAATCGAGGGATCTAAAAATCGGTTTGAGCAGTGAATTCGTAGCTACTACTAGGTGAACATAACAGCCAAGGTGCCAATACGGGTGGTCAAACCCCCATTTAGACCATTAAAAGGAGTTAACCAGACTAGGTACTCAGGGTCTGAATGCTCCTTATTAGGCTGCAAAAGGGAGCTGAGCTCCTGAACATCTAGATGGTGATCAGGACATTTGAGGATGTAATGGGGATTCAATAGCTTTCACATAGGAAAGAATCCCATCCCTCCAAGGCCAAGGAGATTATTTGGATGCAAATTAGTAGATTCCACAATAGAGGAAAAAAGCAGTGTAAGATGAAATACAAATCCACGTTTCTTTTCAGTTGAAAATATAGTAGCCCTGTAGCAATTGTGACTTCCTATACGATGCTCACTTCATGGTATGAAATAAAGTGCTGCCTGGCAGATTTTTAGCCTTTGTAATAAAAGGTTCCTCTTTACTGCCAAATTTACATTACCACTGGTAACACTTCTTTAGTTACAGGCAAAAACCAAAGTATATCACCCCATTATACAATATAAAATTACCCAAACTTTTTTGAGCAGAATTAAGGAAAAGAATTTCTGTCTTAAGTCTTTTAAAAAAGGTTCTAATGTTAACAGCAGTTAAGGCATCACTAGCAAAACACTGTCACCTATGCTTCTTGAAACGGTTTTCGAAACCACTTTCAACACCAACGTGTATAATACAAGCACATAAACTGCACGGTGTTACACCTGGTTCCAAGTCTATTGAAGCTTAAAGTATTTAAACATCACGACATCAATCCTCGATTGTTCATACGCTGTTTCTGTAAGCAGCCAAACCAACCCCGCTGTTGCAGCAACTGTTTGTTCAGAGTATTTTTCCTAAAGCTGCTGAAATCACAGGATGGCCAGGGTTGGAAGGGATGGCCAGGGTTGGAAGGGAACTTTGGAGATCATCTAGCCCAAAGCCCCTGCCAAGGCAGGTTCATCTAGTGCAGATTGCACAGGTGGGGTGACGGGGCAGAGCAATCCCACCCCCTGCCAATGTACTGGATCCAGTGTGTAACCTCGTGGCAAACTTCTGTGGCAGGAAACTCGGACTGACAGAGGAGGACTCCCTGTCTCCATTTGTTTGACTCCAGGAGAAGAAGGCACAAGCCCAACAGATGCAAAATGCTCTAGACTTGAAGGAAGAGGTGGGAAAGAGACGAGGGTGCTGGGGCATGGTTGGGAGGGCTTGTGGGTTTTTTGGAGGGCAGCAGACTGGCTCTGTCTGCGGCCAGCCATGTCACACTTGCTCTGATGCTGCCAGGCCTTCAGGGAGAAGATGAAAGCCATAGCCTGCCGGTGGAGGGACCTGCACTCCAACGAGACTCAGCTGAAAACCCACATGGAGAAATCTGGGAGGATTACAAAGGTACACCTGCCCCTGACCAGCTTGGCTGACATGATCCTGAGCAGCAAGACCACCTCCTCCCTTCCCCTGGGGGGACAGCCTTGGGCCACCACACCTGTCCAAGCCTCCCTTGAGCCTGGGGGTGTGAGGAACTGGCCTACAGATGTGGAAAGTCCTGACAGGGCTTGGACAGGAGAGAGCTTGTCCCATACCAGTGTCCTGAGGGCCCCAAACATCCCCAAGAAGGGTTTCGGCCTCTACCCACTGCTGACACTTCCCGGGTGTCTCACAGGGACAGATGACAGTAGGTCGGAAAATCAGAGTGCCATCCCAGGTGCCTGTCTCCAAGAATGAAGGGTCAGTATAAGAGGGATGACACTGTTAAACAGGGAATGAAAATGCTCTCGGGGTGCTCCAGTACTGGTCTCTCCTCTGTGGAGGTATCTCCTCCCAGTGCTGTTGAGTGACCCAGCTCCATCTTCCCTTGCTTTCCTTTCCCTCTGTGTCTGCTTTGGTGGGGGAAATATCACCAGGAAAACGATAAGATGTGAATCCAAGCTCTGAAGAAAAGCCAGCAAAGAGAGAGAGAGGAAGGTGCAAAAGGAGAGTGAGCTTTTGAGAGCAAAGAGGGAACTGGAAGCCCTGAGAAATAAGCACCAGAAACTCAGCAACAAAGTGCAGAAGTACTCCATCTTCAACAAATACTGGGAGGATGTGGTGAAGATCTCACAGGTGAGTGTGGACACGAGGGAGACAGAACACCAACGAGGGCCCTAGATGGGTGTTCAACCTAGAGGAGACGAGGCAAGTGCAGGGAAAGTCATAACACTTGGTCAAATCCAGAGACTTCAGATTGGTTGGAAAAAGGTTCCCTGCAACCAAGGTAAGCCAAGGGGACCAGAGTTATGGGAGAAGACCCAGAAAAGAAAGTGAAGGCTTGAGAAAACAAAAGAAAAAGTGTTAGAAGGGGGAACAGCACAAGGCTGAGGGGACACAAAGGGGAGCCCTTCGTGTCACTGTTTCATGTCACGTTCATAGTTTGGGAGCAGTGGAAAGCTGCCCAGGAATGGGAACCCAGGCAGTTGTCAAAAAAGCTGTGCTCTCTCTCGAGCATGACTGGCCATCACTCTGTGCATCATTCATACTCCTGACATCCCAGCTGCCCCTCCCCCATGTCTTGGTGACTTGGTGCTGGCAGTTGCAGTTGTGCTTTGTATTTTCTCACAGCCCTGCTCACCTGGGGAAGAGGTGCAGTATCTCCCCTTGCTTATGGCAGCGAGAGCCCTGGGACCGGCACAGTGGGATGTCACCATACAGGGAACGTGGCGATGCTCACAAACCAACTGAGGCAATAGTGTCGTCAAGAAGGGAAGGTCCTTCAGCTGGGGAAGGTGGTGTCCCTGGTCAGGGCAGAGTGCCAAAGAGCATGAGACTTACAGTCATGATGAGGGGAGGGACAGAGGATTACTAATACCAGGAACCCTGTGCTGCAGTTTGAGGAGATCCAGGAAGTCATTTCACGCTACAAGATGTTGGTGAGGACGCACAAGGACCTGCTGCAGTCGCAACACGGGTACAAGGAAATGTCTGAGCAAGCCCAGGTGCTTCTGGACCAGCATGCAGCAGAGACAGAAGCAGAGATCCTGCAGTGTGAAAATGAGCTGGTGCACCTCCAACGGTATTTCGACAGGGCTCCAAGTCAGCCACCCGCTGGGTGAGGAAATGTAGGGCAGGCAGGGTATGATCTCCAAGACCTGACTGTGTCAAGACCAGCTGATGGCTCATCCTTAAGTCATGGGGCTATGGCAAGACCCAGCAGCAGCCTTTGTCATTGGAAGAGATTCCTAATTGCATGCCCCCAAGGGGTTGCAGAATGAAGAATGACAGACCAGGTCTGGAACAGGTTGATCAGGGGTGAAAACAAGGCTTGAACGCAGAGTCCAAAGCGATCAGCTGAGCAGGCTTTAGGGAGGTCTGCCCTGGCACAAAACCCAAGCATACTCTACCACCTGCCCGTTGCATCTCCCTAGCCTGGGCATATTCCTTTCCATTCACCATTCCTGGTAGCATCATGCCTGCAATGGGGCTTCAGCATGGAACATCTCGTGGGCTCAGAGTGAACTTGTTTTCATTCTTTGCACAGCATCTGCTCACCAGGGCTCACCCCCTCTCCTCCCTCCTTACCAGTCCAAAAGTGACCAGACTGGTGGCAAACCGGGCTGTAACGAGGCACATCAGTGTGCAGAAATGCCCTCAGTGCTGCTGGCCTCTGCTCCCTTTGCCTCACCGTGCAGGGGCCTTGCCAAATTTCCTTACTGGAGCTAGGTCCCATCAGGCAAAGCTGGAAAGCAACTGGTCTGGGGGAGGTGGCAGTGGGATGTGCTACTTCCAGGGTACCAGCTAGCCCTGATGTGCGGAGTGCAAATAGGGCCTGCAGGGACAACCCACCAGAGTAAGGGCTGCAAGAGCTGGCAGAGAGATGGGGATGTTCCTGGGGCAAGGAGCAGCTGTGTTGGTTCCTGGATCTGCTTCCACCATACCACGCTGAGACACCTCCAGGACAGCCCTGGGCAAGGGTTAGGGTCTCGGAGCCAGGGTCTCCAGCGCTGAAGCAATACCTTTGCTGGGGCATGTCCCCATGCTGCATGTCTCCTCTCTTCTCTGGAGACTTCCTGGTCCGGGCTAAGAAAGCTCAGAAGTTGGGGACTGTCAGGATGACCATCTTCCACCTCTTCCAGTGCATGAACACGCAGCTGAAGGCAAACCTGAGTGTGATGGCAGCTGACAGCCACCGGCAGCTAAACATGGTAGAGCTGAGCCAGACCCCTTCTCCCAGCCCAGAAGGAGGAGCAGAGATGAAGCTTAGCCGCCCAAAGGGAAGGGAGAGCTGAGAGAAACCAATGTGCCCAACACACACCTTTGTATTCACCTGGGCTCTCTCCTGGGCACAGGGACAGGGCAGAGAACACCAGGCAAATGTGTCTTGCCCAAGGAGCAGTGTGTGGGTATCTGTGGGTGCAGAAAGAGTGGCAGCCAGGCAGCCTGGGGCAGGGGATGCAGATCAACCCATAGCCAAGGTTTGGTTGCATTGACCCTTGCCCTGAACTCAGAGTCACCCACAAAAGCCCATTCTGGTGGTGCAGATCCAGCAAGGCACAAGCCTTATCCTCCTGCTCCATCTGGTTGGTGAAATTTGCCCTCCAAAAGGGCCAACAAGTTCCTCTCTGCCTCTTGTTCCCAACCCTGCTCTGATCTCTGCCATCTCTCTTCCCCACCCTAGACTGAGCTGTTTATCCAGGACCTCAAAGACGTCCGTAAGGAGGTGAGAGTCCAGAGGAGGCCACAAAGATGCTCAGAGGGCTGGAGCACCTCGCCTGTGATGAAAGGCTGCAAGAATTGGGCTTGTTCAGCCTGGAGAAGAGAAGGCTCCGGGGAGACCTTATAGCACCTTCCAGTGCCTGAAGGGGCTACAAGGAAGCTGGGGGGGCTTTTTACAAGGGCCTGTAGTGACAGGACAAGGGGTAACGGGTTTAAATTGAAGGTAGGGAGGTTTAGATTGGATATCAGGAAGAAGTTCTTCCCAGAGAGAGTGGGGAGGCAGTGGGACAGGTTGCCCAGAGAAGCTGTGGATGCCCCATCCCTGGAAGTGTCCAAGGCCAGGCTGGATGAGGCTTGGAGCAACCTGGTCTAGTGGAAGGTGTCCCTGCCCATGGCAGGGGAGTTGGAACTGGATGGTCTTTAAGGTCCCTTCCAACCCAAACCATTCTGTGATTCTATGAGAGAGAAGGACACGCGGAACCGCCAGCGAGCCACTAGGCTTGGATCGATAAGGGACAGGCCAACATGACCAGAGCAGCCAGCAAAGGCTCAGCAGGGTGGGAAGGGACAGAGGAGAACGCAGGGCCCTACAGGTACTGTGGACTCCACCGCAGGCTGCACCCGTGAAGTTTCATACCCTCCTGGCTCTTCTGTCTTGCAGAGTTGCTGACAGCTTTTGTACTACTAAAAATAACCAAATATTTTAAGGTGTCTCTTCATTTCCTGGGGGGATTGGAAACATCGGAGCACATCCATCCCATAGCTTCAGCCCAGATGCCACTGAGGTACCTCTTCTGGCAGACGGGATTCTGCTTGCAGGAGAAACTGTCCCAACAAAGCACGCAAGATAGGGAGAGCAGGCTGGGACAGGAATATAGCATCAAGTAGGGGTTAGTGTTTATATTTGGACATCCCACTCATCTAAGCTCTGACATATTCGAGAGGGATGTCACAACAGGACGGGGGGAGTGTGCTTTGAGAGAGCTCAAGAGATTTCCACCACCACCCCCAGCACATCCATGGATGCGGATTTCTCTCATGTAAATACTATCAGGGATAGCATGGAGAATGGACATAGGTGAAGGACGAACCAGCCAAAGCCATTGCACTGAGCATCTAGATCTTCACTGAGAGTGCTAACATGATGAATACAAAACAAGAGGAGTAAAAACGGCTCTGGAGACACACTGTGGAGTTCAGGCCAGGCTCAGAGAGTTTTCCGGTGCCTTTTAACAGACCACGGAGAGAATGACATAAACTTGCAGATTTTGAGGCAAGAGACCATTGATCACAAGCTGTTGCTCCCTCCTCTCCAGTAGTTATTCCTGTCCTGAGCCAGTGGATTCAACTAATGCATCCTCCAGAAAAATGAGTCCACTTGGTCCATGTTTATAATGCCTGGGAGTTGCTCAGGAACATGACCCCTTCCTTCAAGAGTGGGAAAGGCACAGAGTAACCCCTTCCCCAGATCCGTGCTCTCACAATCAACAAGCAAAACAGATGCACCCCAGAGCTGGTGCTGGCGACTTGTTTGGAAAGCAGAGGAGGGATGGGTTTGCAGTGGGAATGCTTGGTGCGGAGTGCACACAGTGGATGCTCCCTCTGCATCTCGGCTGTTGCTAGCTCTGCAAGGTTGAATTCATAGGAATAAACTCAATTAGAAATGCAGTCCCTTAGGTCAGATCTCAGGAAGTACTCATGCAGGAAACCCAATTTCCTTCAAGCCTCCCAGCTCAGACCCACGTTAGGCCACTGAAGCTTAGCAATTTGCCATCCATCAGCAGAAAATGCGCCTGTGCCGTGCCCTCAGTGTGATGCCAAAGGCAACGGCGAAAGCCTCCAGTGCAGAGGCAAGGGCAGTAATGGCTTCTCAGCTGCTGTATGTGGAGGAAGAGCTCATTTCTTTCTGAAAGCTTGACGTGTAAACGCAGTGTGGGCCACGATGTGCCCTATATTCTTCTGAAGAGATCCCAGAGCAGGGGGAGGTGAATGGCTGTTTGAATTTCAGCCGGCAAGGAAAAGTAAAAGCTTTTGCAACTTTATGCAGCCACCATGTGCCTACACTTCAATGATTACATTCTTTTCATTCTGTAAAGCAGGGATAATAACTGTCAGGGAGGGGCAGGAGTGGGCTGTTCCTCCAGGGAAGGAGCTAAGGTGACAGCAAAGGAGGCGGGAGGGTATCCTCACCCACAGGATGCAGCCCTGTGGTATGCGAGCAAAAGCAGACACATGGCTGTGTGCAGTGATGAGGCAGGCCCAAGGTGGAGCCAGAAAGTCAAGTCAGCATGGCAAGGTGAGAATCAGACAGGTACAAGGCTGGACACAGGCTTACCTGCAAAGCAAGGACCAAGGGGAAGGATTTAAGTGTAAGTGCAGCTCCCAAGCAAAGCAGGGGAGGCTCCAGTGAAGGCTCCACACAGCACCTTCTCACAGTTTATCTGTTCTTCCAGCAGCCTGATCCCAAGTTACATGGCTGTCCCACACCAGGGCTGGCCTTCAGCACAGGCAAGCAGACCCCTGGCAGGTGGAGAAGGGGTCGCAGGGCCCGTGGGTGCACTGAGAGCCCTGGCATTAACAACTTCCTGCAGAGGGCTGGGAGCCCCATGGTGCTGGCATTTGCCAAGAGCCATATTACTGCTCGTGGCAGGAGCCCAGACTCATGTCCTGTCGAAGTCCTGATGAAACCAGCCCAAGCTCTGCTTGGTGTGTACGTACACAGTCTTTGCTCCCAAGACCGCAGGGTACAAGGAAGGAGATGCCCAGTCTGGGAGCAGAAGCAGCATAGGGGAGCCCAGGGTCACCAAGGACACAGGACAACATGCCCTGTGTTCTGCTGGAGATCCCCAGAGCAGAGGGAGGTGAGGACAGGTGGAACTTCCTGTGCTCCAGTTTGTGTCCATTGCCCCTTGTCCTGTTACTGGGCACCACTGAAAGAATCTGGTCCCATCCTCTTGACACCTCCCTTTAGATATTTATAAGCATTGATGAGATCCTCTTTCAGTCTTCTCTTCTCCAGGCTAAACAGACCCAGCGCTCTCAGCCTTTCCTCGTAAGGGAGACATTCCAGTCTTCCCATCATCTTTGTAGCCCTCCTCTGAACCTGCTCCAGTAGTTCCCCATTTTTCCTGAACCAGGGAGCCCAGAACTGGACACAGCACTCCAGATGTGGCCTTACCACGGCACAGTGGAAAGGGAGGATGACCTCCCTGGACCTGCTGGCCACACTCTTCTTAATGCACTCCAGGATACTGTTAGCCTTCCGTTTCATACTCGTAGGGATGCACTGCTCTTGAGCTTGGAGTAAGTGTTGCTTGAATATTAGCCAGGTCTCTTGGGCCACCCCACCTTCTAGGGCTTTAACCCACAGGATTCCTCCAAGTAGGTCTTTGAAGAGGCTCAAGTTTGCTCTCCTGAAGTCCAGGGTTCTCATTGTACTTATTACCCTGCTTCTTCCACGCAGGATCCTGAACTCCACTATCTTGTGGCTGCTGCAGCCCAGGCTGCCCCCAACGTACACACCCCCAACCAGTCCTTCTTTGTTTATCAGCACAAGGCCCAGCAGCACTCCCTGTTGGCTCCTCCACCACCTGTGTCAAAAAGCCATCATCAGTCCTCCACAGGAATCCTCCTGGACTGTGCATGCCCAGCTGAGTGGTTGAAGTCTCCCATGAGAACCAGAGCCTGCAAGTGTGAGGCTACTTCCAGCTGTCTGTAGAAGGCCTCATTGACTCCCTCTTCCACATCAGGTGGCCTGTAGTAAACACCCATGACAGTGCCACCCACATTAGCCTGCCCCTTAGTTCTTACCCATAAGCTCTCGACTCGGTCTTCATTCACCCCTGCGCAGAGCTGGACACATTCCAGTTGCTCTCTCACATAAAGAGCAACTCCGCCACCTCGCCTCGCTGGTCTGTCTTTCCTGAAAAGCATGTAGCCATCCATGACAGCATTTCAGTGATGCGAGCTATCCCACCTTGTCTCTGTAACTGCAGTGAGATCATGGATCTCCAGTTCTTCCTGTTTATTCCCCACGACGCTGTGTTGGTGTACAGGCATTTCAGACAGGGGACTGGACACACAGGTTTCCTGGAAGGGGTGTCAGAGGATTCACCATAGCCATACCCACCCTTGGCATGGTTGGCCTTCTGGTTCTCCTCATTGGAGGCAGCTAAGGAACCTTTGACACTACTCTGGTTGGCCCGGCTTATTTCCCAGATGGGTGCAATGCAATGGGCATTGCCATTTTCCACCCACCCCCCAAGTCCTTCAGTTTAAAGCCCGTCTCACGAAGTTGGCCAGCTGTTGCCAAAGATCACCTTGCCTCTTCTACACAGGTGGATATACCATCCTTCCCTAACAGGTTAGAGTCCCCGAAGAATGCCCCACATTCACAAGTGTGTGACATGCACACTTCCATCCACCTACGCTGAAGTAGGTTAATACAGAAAAAAACATAGCCATAAATAAGCAAGCCATCACTGGATAGATGGAAGAATTTCCAATTACACAGAAGACAAGGAACCCGGCAACTTCATTATATAACATACTTGGTTCATTTGTTTGGATAAAT